CCCACTATTTTCTGGTTGTACCAAAAATAAACAACTAGAGAGTGATTTCAGTTCTTAAAAAATCATTTACACTTAAAAAGTGGGATGAAGCCGGGCACTGTGGCTCACACCTGTAATCCTAGCTACTCAGGAGGCAGAGATCAGGAGGATTGTGGTTTGAAGCCAGGCTGGGCAAATATGAGACCCTATCTTGAAAAAAACCCATCACAAAAAAGGGCTAGTGGAGTGGCTCAAGGTGAAGGCCCTAAGTTCAAACCACAGTACTGTAAAAAAAAAAAGAAAGAGGGATAAGGTGGGATTCCCTCCTTTTAAAAATGTTTCTAGAGCTACTAAAAGACTTGCATTTGGAGGGAGGATAAAGGAGAGCGAGGAGGGGGAGAATTCAAGTATGATATATTTGATACATTGTAAGAACTTTCATAAATACCTCAGTGTACCCCCACCCAGCACAATAAAAGATATGAAAGAAAAAACTATGCAGGGCACATTTTAAAAAAAGTAGATAGAGTTGGGGAAAAGAACTTTGCATTTACAAAATAGTTGATAAAAATATTCCTCTGGGTTGCCCAGGAAGGGAGTGAGGGAGCTCTGGTGAGACGAAACACATGATCAGTCAGATGTGACTTCGTTCTCTTCCTTCATGAGAGGCTGTTCTCTCCTTGTTTTTAGTTTCTTTAGCTCACAAGACCCTGTCTTGAAAAAACCCAACACAAAGCAGGGCTGTTGGAATGGCTCAAGCTCGAGGCCCTGAGTTCAAACACCAGTACCATCAAACAGGAGAAATCCTTTATGTATGTATGTATGTATTCACTGTGGTGCTGGGGCCTGAACTCAGGGCCTCTCACTTGCTAGGCAATCACTCTACCACTTCAGCCACTCCGCCAGCCCCATGTTTTTGATCCCTTGGAAAGTACGCTAGTGAAAGGCATCAGATTTATGCTTTCCGAGGGCTAGTCACTTGCCTCACACTGTTTAGCCAATAACCTGTGTTGTACAACTGGTCTGTAATGCCACCTTTATCAGTCCCTAAATCCCCGTATGTGGTGGGACCTATTTCCATAGACTGGGGTCTGCCTATTCCTGCTCCAACCAGATTATTGTATTGGTGAATAAATGGGGATCCTGAGCAGTTGGGAGACATATAGATGGATGGAAGTCCAGGTGAAGTCAAGTGTTAGGAACAAATCATGGGCAGGTTTTAGAATGCTGGGCATCCAGAGAGCTCCAAGACAGGACCTGGCCTGCCAAGCAAGTCAGAAAGGAGAGTTGTACTGGGCCCCACCTCTGGAAAAAAACAAAATCCAAATGTGTGTGAAGGGCCAGTGGACTGGGGAAAGGAGCTGAGATCCGGCCAACACTGCAACCTGATGAGGCCCAGGGTTCCAGGAGGGCCACCTTCTGCATCTAGGGGACAGGAACTGGGCCAGTACCGTGACAAGCCAACAGGAAAGCCAGAGAAACACTAGGTCAAGGTGGGAGGCCCATCCACAGGTCAACTCCCCTCTGCTTTCAAAGCAGGGTGCCCAGCAATGGCAAATCCTGCAGTCTAAGTTCTTGCCCAATCTGAAGCGGGGGATAGGGGACAGTGCCTCTTGTATCCAGTCGCTTCAGATCAAAGATAAGAGGCCTTGAGCTAACTGGGTGTCGGTGGCTCACATCTGTAATCCTAGCTACTCAGGAGGCAGAGATCAGGAGGATCGCAGTTGGAAGCCACCCTGGGCAAATAGTTCTGCAAGACCCTATCTCGAAAAAACCCATCACAAAAATAGGGCTGGTGGAGTGAAAACCCTGAGTTCAAGACCTGGTATCAAGCCTCCCCAGGGTGCTGACTTTCAGTTTTTTAATGTAGTAACTTTTTATTTTATTTTATTAACTTTTTAATTTTTTTATAGTACTGGGGTTTGAACTCAGGGCATACATGTTGAGGCACTCTACCAGACCATATTTTGTGTGTGATGGGTTTTTGGAGATAGGGTCTCCTGAACTACTTTTCTGGGCTGTTTTCAAACTTAAACCTCCTGATCTCTGTCTCCTGAGTAGCTAGGATTACAGGCATGAGCCACTGGTGCTGGCTCCCCTAAATATTTAATTTTAAATTTCTCTCTTACATAACACAGTACAATCATCAGAATCAAGAAACTTAACATTGAGCCTGGTGTGATGAGTCAGGCCTGCAATCTCAGTACTCAGGGGGCTAAAGCAGGCAGAAACCAGCCAGACTGGACTAGATGGTGAGACTCTTGTCTCAAGAAACCCAAAACCAAGGGCTGGTGGAGTGGCTCAAGTAAGAGCACCTGCCTAACAAGCACGGGGCCCTGAGTTCAAACCCCAGTACTGCCAATTAAAAAAAAGAAAAAAACAATTTACATAAAGTTTATATAAATGTATATTAAATAAAAGGAAAATTTAAATTGCCCACTCTTTCACTGTGGTTTGTTACTGTCAACGTGTGTGTCCTCCCAGCCCTTTTTCTATCCCTGTACTCAAGCATATGATATAAGTCTGTATGTGTATGTCTGTGTTAGATTCTGCCTGTTGCCTTCCTTAAGGTACAGCCTAAGAGAGTAAAATTCCCAACCCCAGTAAGGTGACAACTTGGATTTCCTGCCAGCAGCTGTGAGGTGTCTCACAGGAATTTGTTACAAACATTAAATGAAGTCCTATGGCTGGTGAGTCATTTCCTCCAAAACGCTGGAGTGGATTTGAGTTAGACCTGTAATATTCCCATTTGCGAACATCCTGAGAGCATGTGGAATATTTCAGATGTCCCTAATTGTGGAGTGACCATAAGCCTCATTCAACTCTTGTAAAAGGTTCACAGAACCGGATAAAGCAGTCCCCTTCATGTGTTCTATGCCCAGAGAGGAGTGCAGGCAATGCTGGGTGTGGGTCTTCCCACACGTTCCTGTGCATTCACTCCTGTGTAGACATAAACACTCCTCCTTGGGAGTGTGTGGTATGACACCGTGCTGTATCATATGCTCCAGCATCTTGCTTTTTTCCCATATGATGAGGTATCTTGGGGATTTTTCCACATGGTAAACGTAGATCTCCCTTGAGTAGCTACTCGGTCAATGCTGCCATATACAGGTTCTCTTTGACAGGATGGGGTTCTGTCCCAATAACCCCACTGTGAAGTGAAAGCATCCTAAACTGGAAATGTGTCTAACTCGCCTGACCTGCAAACATCCCAGCCTACCTTAAACGTGCTCAGAACACTAAATTAGCCTACACAAAACCTACTTGATCACAAAGTATTGACTGTCTTGTGTAATGTATTGAATACCATACAAAAGTGAAAAATAGAATGGATGTATGGGACGCTTTCGCACCATTGTGAAGTCAAAAACTCATAAGGGGGACCATCCTAAGTCATGGGCTTGTCTGTGCCTATTCCCTACTGAGGAATAGCCCATTCAGGTTGGTTCCTTCTTTCTTTTTTTTCCCTTTTGACAATGCCAGAATGGATATCCTAGAGCTACTAGATATTCAGGGAGAAGGAGGTAGAAAGGGTTCATGCCATGAGTGGATGGACATAGTTGGCTCCTTGCATACTCTGAGGATGGAGGGGGCAAAGGAAGCTTGTCCTCCTTGTGGATGGACTGCCCTGTCAAGGTCATGGTGTTAGCCACAAGGGTACCATCCCAGGGCTTTCAGGAACAGCTCCAAAAGTCAGGGGAACTTAGGACAGTGGGGATGGAAGACTGAGGTAAAAGGTGGAACTCACACTGCGTTGAGAAGGCCTTACAAAGGGATCAGCAAACTCCTGTGTAGGGCCAGACAGAACCAGGAGTCTCCATCACAGCCACCCCACTCACTCTGCTGTGTTTTACAAAAGCTGCCACAGACAACTGGTAAGTGAACAAGTAGGGCCACATTCCAACACGATTTTATTTATGAACACTGAGGTTAGTTTCACATAATTGCTTTTTCAGATAGTGTCCTGCTACATTGCCCAGGCTGGTCTCAAATTCCTGGGCTCAAGCACTCCTCCTGCCTCAGCTTCCTGAGTAGCTGGGACTACAGGTGTTCACCACGTTTATATAATTTTTTTCATCTCATGAAGCTATGTTCATTTCTTTAGTCTGTTTCAGTCATCTAAAAAAGCCTGTTGGACTGAAATTAATGGCAGAGAAGCCAACATCTCTCGAGATTACTCCACGACCAGGATACATAGACTGTGTGAGCTATGGCACACCCTGGGTGTGTCTGAAGAGGGTGGGGCAGGGGAAACTGAAAAAAAAAAATCACACAGTCCACAGGAGCCATTTTGAAACAAAGACCATTGGTTGCAGGTTTTGTTGTTGGAGTTGTAATCAAGGCTCATGGAGACAGTTGTGCCACATGTGTCCTTGTGCAAGTGTTTTATCTGGGATGCTGCAGTTCTGAGGAATTCCTTGCAGTAGTTCTTATAGGCATACAGATGTGAAGGCTCCTTCTTGGAGAGAGAGAGAGAGAGAGAGAGAGAGAGTGTGTGTGTGTGTGTGTGTGTATGTGTGTGTTGGGGATGGAACCCAGGCATACAGATGTGAGGGCTCCTTCTTGGAGAGAGAGAGAGAGAGACAGAGAGTGTGTGTGTGTGTGTGTGTGTGTGTGTGTGGTGTGGGGATGAAACCCAGGCATACAGATGTGAAGGCTCCTTCTTGGAGAGACAGAGAGAGAGAGAGAGAGAGAGGGAGAGAGAGAGTGTGTGTGTGTGTGTGTGTGTGTGTGTGGTGGGGATGGAACCCAGGGCCTCATGCATGCCAGGCAAGTTCTCTACTCCCAAGTCACATCCTAGCCCCAGTGGTTCCATTTTGATATCGATAACGTTCACAAGTCATACAAAAACAAACGGTGAGCTAGAGGAAGCTCTTTGGTCATACCCTGTCAGCAGGCACAGGGGCCAGATGTGGCCAAGAGATGGCATCTCAGTCAGGGCTTCTCAGCCCTGACTTGTGGACCTTGCCTGGAGCTTGATCCAGACTGGATAGAGGGAGGACATGAGAGTGTTACCAGCAGTCACAGCAGTGAGAAGAATGGACCATGCTGGGGCTGACCAGCACTGTCACTTCAGCTCTGAAGGCTTTCTGGGGTAGATGAGGGCTGGGGGTCCTTCTGGAAGATTGTTTTCAAAATGATCTGCAGTAGGAAGAAAAGACACAAAAGCCCCAGAAATGGAGTGGCTGCTTCATTAAAGAAACAGGTTGGTTTTTCTTAGGGTTTTAGGTTCTAGGGGTGTTTGTTTTTTGTGCAATTAAAAAAAAAAAAGCCACAGGCTGGGAGTGTAGTCCAGTGGACAGCTCTTGTATGGCATGAGGAAGACCCTGGGGGCCATCCCCATACCACACACACACCCCTCTTTTTTTTTTTTTTTGTCTTTTGGGATAGGAGCTTGCTATGGAGCCCAGGCTGGCCTTGAACTTATGATCCTTCTGCCTCAGCCTCCTAAGTGCTGGGATTCCAGGTGTGCACCACCATGACAGGTTTATGGTTGACTTTTGTTTATGGTATCCTCTGCATTAAAGTTGAAATAAACATATAACCAAATCCTCCTGACCACTCCTTCCTGGAGCTACCGTTTGCTTTTATGCCTATTTACAGGCCAATATTTCTCCCCCCCTCACCCTGTCACATGTAGATCCTGCCTGGTGCCAGAACCAACCTCCTCCTGCAGGGGAACAGATGGAGTACAGGAAGTCCATAGGGCATTCGATTCCTATCCTCGGCCCAGGGCTCCCAATCTTTTGGATGGGGAGGTTTCTCCATGCACCCCTGCCTACCCCTCCTCAAATTCAATTGGGCTGAAGGGTCCATGCTGTCCACTGTGAATGGCTGCCACTAGTGGGAAAGGCCAGGGCTCCACCTGGTTGAGCACGTCATCCTCCTGGGTCAGATTCCAAATGATTTCAAAGTGATCCACGTCGTGCAGTTCTTCAAATGAGGCTTTCCACCCTCGTGTGCACAGTGTCTGGGCAGGGAAGTGAGAGGAAGCATGACGCTGCAGGGAGGGGAGACAGGACTCCCACAATGCCTGGCAGGCACTCATTCAGCACTTGGTTTCTAAGTGACTGATGGTATTGGGGTCAGTTTAGGCAAAATAAAGAGGAAGATAATGAGAAGATATGTTCAACCCCTCAACCCCTAGCCATCAGCCAAGTGCTGGGAGTACCTGATAGAACTCCCTGGACTGTCGGTGGAATTCCGGGGAGTCGTGCTGACCCACAATCACCAGCACGGGGCAGGCTGGATCTGCAGGTTTCACTGGGGCTGCCTCCAGGTGCCACTGTGGGCTGTTCCTCCGAGCACCCTCCCTGGTGGGTGGGTGGGAGGCAGGGGTTAGGAAGAGAGGGCAGCCAGGCCCCAGGTGGGCAAGGGAAGGTGGAGGGCAAGCCACTCACAGCGTCATGTGGAGAGGGGCATTCACTGAGGTGGACACGATGGGCTCCAGGTCATAGATCCCACTGACCAGGAGAAAGCCTGCCAGAGTAAGGAAAGCATGGGGCCAGAGGCCAGGTAGAACAAGTTGGGACCCAGCTATCCTCCAGGTCAGAGGAGCAAGACCAGGGTTGGGGACAGACAGAAAAGTCTTTTGTTCCCCAGGCTCAATACCCTTCCAAGTCAATCCCTCATGGCTATTAGGATTTTGAGCAGGTGACCAAACCGTCAACCCTCAATCTCAGCTGAGTGAGGGCTGCCCAGCCAGACTGCAGATCTCACACAAACCTCTGAGATTGGGCGTGACTCCATGCTTGGTCCAGTTAGTCAGAAGCATCATGGCAGCCAGGTGAGCTCCTGCAGAGTGTCCACACAGGTAAATTCCCCTGGGATGGGTCAGACAGAGAGCTGGGTTTATGTTCATATTCCCTAAAGCATCAGGAGCCCACATTTGCCTGCTGCTCCACAGGCCAGTGGGGGACCTTGACTGTATCCAAGAGGGCCAAATCCACTGTCTGTCCACCCACCCAGCATGTCCAACAAGGCCTACGGCGACACCCACTCATTGCATGGATACCGCTTCTGCACGAAGACGGTGCTGCGGGCCACCTGGTCCACCATCTGGTCCAGGGTGCCTGAACGGAGTACAAAGTGGGTCAGGGTCCACTGGGGCTCTCTCCCCGTGAAATCCACCGGCCCCCAAACCTGCAGGGACTACTCTTGTTACCTTTGGGAGCAATGTCATAAGCCACTACAACCACAGCCACGCCCTGTGCCGTCAGTGGGTTCACCATAAAGGCTGATTCATCTTTACTGAAAAGAGACAGAGAGGAGACAGTGGGAGGCAGCCTGGTCACAGAACCTCCTCCCCAAGTCCTGGGCACACACGTGCCACCATGCACGTAGCACTGCATGCTAGGCATGGGAATGCAGGGACTTTATTTAACCTTAACCTGGCTCCCTCAGTTCCATCTGCTCTTTTAGCAAACTGTTTTTGAGAACTGAAGTATAAGGCTTTGCAGCAATAAAACGGACATGTCAGAAGGGCAGAGGCTCCTATGACAGGCAACTCTGCAGGAAGGTCCTACAGCAGCAGTGTCCTCCAAGCACCGATCACCCTGCTTCTTAGCTTAGGGTGACCAACAGTCTCAGTTTGCTTGGGACCTTATTTTTTTTTTAGCACTGAAAACCCATGTCTTCTTGGTTCTGAGCAAACTGGGACCATTGGTCACTGCCGTTCCCTTGATAAGCAAGTTGGTATAGTGTACGGAATTGTTTCCCAAAAAAGATATGTCCAAATCCTAACCCCCAACTTGTACATGTGACCTTATTTGGAAAGGTCTTTGTAGACAGAATTGAGAAGCTAGAAGTAAGATCTTCCTGAATTAGGGTAGACCCTACATCCAAGACGGGTGCCCTTATAGGAAAAAGAAAGGGAGACTAGAGAACAGACACCAGGGACCACGAGAAGGTGGAGGAACACCTGGGCCACCAGGAGCTGGAAGAGGCAGAAAAGACCCTCCCCGAGAGCCTCCAGGAACAGCATGGCCCTGTGGCACCTTGATGTCTGACTTCCAGCTTCAGGAAGTGTGACCGAGTACTCGTTGCTGGAAGCTCCAAGCTTGTGGATGTTTTTGAAGCAACTCTGGGACACTAAACACCAGAGAGCATGAATCTCCCTTTCGCTCCACTCATCCCCATTCCCGGCTCACCTTCCATACTGCCAGTATCCTCCATGGACAAACACCAAGAAAGGCCAAGCTGTAATAAAAACAGAGGGTGCTGGCTGAGACTGGGTACTAGGCTGATTGTGCTGCAGGACTGCCAGCCCCACCTTGGGTCACCTTCAGAAGCCACATCAGGAAAGTAGATGTCTATTTTGTCCCCTTTGCCATCTCCATAGGGAACATGCAGCTGGCTCCTCCTGGTGGCCCGGGCCTTGCTGGTGGCTGCCTTAGAAAACAGACAAGTCACTGTCTGAACAAGCTCATGTGGCCGCTCCAGAGAAATCCTTTTTGCTGAAAGCTCTCTCTAAAAGATTAGCTTCAGCTGTGACCTCTGCCACGAACCAGGACTCCAAAGTCCTGATGTCTGCTAGCCATGAACCTGTGGTTCTGACTGGCGCCATTCTCACTGCCGCCATTATTATATGCTGACTGTATGCCCTACACTTTGTTACGTGCTCTGGGAAGCACCAAATTTTTTAAAAATTTGGCAAATAATCTTTTAGAGAAACAGACAGAAACTCACTTAAATAGATAATGAAGTAAGATGAATATACAGGTTGAGTATCTTTTGTCTAAAATTCTGGGAACCAGGAGTATGTCAGACTTTGGATTCTGGAATATTTGCATATACATAATGATGAGTTATCCCAGGCAGGAGACCATTCTAACACGAAGATGCTTCATACTCAGCTCACGCGCACAGCCTTAAGGTAGTGTTATACAATATTTCTAGGGCACAAGCGGTTTTGTTGTGCATGTCTTTGTTTTTTGGCGGTAGTGGGGGTTTGAACTCAGGGCTTCATGCTTGCTTGGCAGGCGGTCTCCCGCTTGAACCACAACCCCAGCCCTGGCACCTGTGTGTCCACTGCCACCTGTCCCATAAAGGTGGGTGTGGAATTTTCCCCTCGTATCAAAAGTTTAGATTTTGGAGCATTTGGATTTTCGACTTGTGGACTAGGGATGCTCAGCCTGTATACCTAAGTGCCAGAATGGGAGCACTCAGAGTGACAGGAAGCTGGCTGAGACTTGGGTGAGACAGGAAGGAGAACGTGTAAGGGAATTTATGCAGCTTGTGTGCAGCTTTCAGTACAGAAGAGCTCCAGCAATCACGCAAACTCAGAAACTCAGCCCTCCAGCCCTGGGTGTTGGGGAGGCTGTAGGTTGGTACCTTTTACCACCCCCCCGCTTTTTTGTGGTACTGGTGTTCAAACTCAGGGCTTCACCTCACTAGGCAGGCACTCTACCACTTGAGCCACTCCGCCAGCCCTCCTTTTTCTTTTTTTCAGTGCTAAGCTAGCACACTACCACTTGAGCCATGCCCGTAGTCCTTTCTGCTTTAGGTTATCTTTCAGAGAGTCTCAAGCTTTTTTCCCGGGATCTCGCTCCTCCCACCTGTGGCTCCCCCATAGCTGGGATGACAGGCATGTGCCACAGTGCCAGACTTGTTGGCTGAGGTGGGGCCTCAATAACTTTTTGCTCTAGATTGACTTCAAACTCCGCCTGTCCTAATCAAAGCCTCCTGAGGAGCTGGGATTATAGATGTAAGGCAACTTCCCTGGATAAAATTAGTAAATTCTTACCAAAGATATCTTAATGCCCACTAAAAAGACCTTTACTTTTGATTTTTGGCTCTACTGGGATTTGAACTCAAGACCTTACACTAGGCAGCTGCTCTACCATTTGAGCCACTCCTCCAACCAAGACTTTTTTAAAGTAAGTTTTTAGGTGAAATTTACTAGCATGAAACTCACCATTCTGAAGTGGCAGAGTCAATGGCACTTGGTCCAGAGCATTTCCTCACTCCAGAAGGAAACCCCAAGCTGCTCAGCAGTGTCCCCTCATCCCTCCCTCTGCCCCCAGCAACCAGAAGTCTGCTTCGGGTCTCGGTGGGCTTATCTCTTCTGCATGATTCATAGAGGTGGACGCACATATTACATATATGACCTTCTTTCAACATCACACTTCTGTTGCAGCAGTTTACTATTTCAGTTCCCAGTGTGTGTGTGTGTGTGTGTGTGTGTGTGTGTGTGTGTGTGTGGTGCTGGGGATCAAACCCACGGCCTTGCACATGCCAGGCAGGCATTCTACCACTGAGCCGCGGCCCCAGCCCTCCATCCCTTTGTATGTGTAGACATGTACACATTGTATGTATCCCTCATAGTTCGTTCCTCCATCTGTTAGCAGACAATATGGCTGTTTCCAACTTCCGGCTCTCGTGAACAATGCATCTATGACACACAGGTACATTTATCGAGTACTTACTTTTGATTACTTTGGGCGAGCATTTTTTATTTCTTGGTGGTACTGGACTTTGAACTCAGGACCTTGTGCTGCTAGACAAGTGCCCTACCACTGGAGCCACACGCCGCCCTTCTTGCTTTAGTTGTTTTGCAGACAGGGTCTCACTTTTTTGCCCAGGCCAGTCTGGACCTTGATCCTATTTATGCTTCCCTGGTACTGAAATCAGACACCCACCACCATGCCCAGCTTGTTGGTTGAAAAGGTGTCTTTTTTTGAGGATGTGTGTGGTACTAGAGGTTGAACTCAAGGCCTCAATTTGCTAGGCAGGTGCTCTACCACTTGAGTCACTCTGCCTGCCTTTTTGGGTTAAGCATTTTCAGATCGGGTCTCTAAAACTATTTGCCTGGGCTGGCTTAGAACCATGATCCTCCTGATCTCTGCCTCCTGAGTAGCTAGGATTACACTGGTGCCCAGTCAGGGATAGGGTCTTGACAACTTTTTGCCCAGGCTGGTCTGGAACGTCCATCCCAATCTCTGCATTCCGAATAGCTGGGATTACAGAAATGAGTCACCATGCCGCACCTAAGAATTTTTTTTTTTTTTTTGGTGGGACTGGGCTTTGAACTTGGGACTTTGAGCTTGAATTTTTAATGCTGTAAATATTAAAAATGGGGCCACACATTGTATAGAATGCTTTCTCCCAGGAGGATAAGAAGACAGTACCAGCAACCACAGCAAAATTTAACAGGTGGCAGAAATTTTGATGACTTTATCTTTCTTTTCAGGAAACATTTTTGTTTTTTCAGTACAGAGCCTCATTCATGGCAAGTGGTCTATTACTTGAACTATGCCCCCAGCTTTTTTGTGGGTTTTTTTTGGCGGTACTGGGGTTTGAACTCAGGGCCTTACACTTGCTAGGCATGCACTCTACCACTTGAACCACTCTGCCAGCTTGTTTTTTGTTTCTAAGATAAGTCTCATTGACTTTTCCCTGGGCTGACCTCAAACTTGCATTCCTCCTGCCTCTGCCTCTCAAGTAGCTGAGATTACAGGCGTGTAAGCCACCATGCCTGGCTTTCAAATACACTCTTTTAAAAAATTTTTTATTTTATTCACATGTGCATACATTGTTTGGGTCATTTCTCCCCCCTTCCCCCTCCCTTACCCGCCCCTTACCGCCCTTTACCTCTTGCTACCAGGCAGAAACTATTCTGCCCTTATCTCTAATTTTGTTGTAGAGAGAGTATAAGCAATAATAGGAAGGACCAAGGGTTTTTGCTGGTTGAGATAAGGATAAGCTATACAGGGCATTGACTCACATTGATTTCCTGTGCGTGGGTGTTACCTTCTAGGTTAATTCTTCTTGATCTAACCTTTTCTCTAGTTCCTGGTCCCCTTCTCCTATTGGCCTCGGTTACTTTAAAGTATCTGCTTTAGTTTCTCTGTGTTGAGGACAACAAATGCTATCCAGTTTTTTGGGTGCCTTACCTATCCTCATCCCTCCCTTGAATATACTCCTTTTGTAATTAGAAAACAATTGTTACCTTATAGCCAGACCCAAACTGTGCACAGACAGGTGACTTAAGTGTCAAAGGGACCCATTCTGTTTGTAGGGGAGGGTGGCAGCAGGGGGAGCTAATAACAAAAGACAAGAGAAAGCGTAAGCCAGGCACTGGTTGCTCACATCTATAATCCTACTGTAAAAACCTAGAACCACATATGACTCTTGTCCATTTCAGCTGCACAAATACCTACTTACTGCATGTCGTTTATTGTAAAATGCATTTCTCCTGAAGGTGTCATAATAAAACAAATTTAAAAGCAACTGAGCTGAGCACCAGTGGCTCATGCCTGTAATCTTAGCTATTTAAGAGGCTGAGATTGGGAAATTTTGGTTCAAGGCCAGCCAGGCCAAAATACTTCACCAGACCCCATCTCCAAAATAACCAGAGCCAAACAGATTGGAGGTGTGGCTCGAGCCATAGAGCGCCTGCTTTGTAAGCTGGATCCCACCCAAAGAAAAAAGCTATTGAAAGAAGAATAGTTCCTAGCCCCTTACCCCATGGCCAGCGTCCTGTAATTTGTGATAACTGGCCCCATCCCCACACCACAGTTAGACTCTGTCCCCCTGTGTCCCGCCTGAGAGAAACCAGGACTTGAGGGGGACAAAGGGGATCATCTACTCATTACAGCAGAACACCCGACTTCAACCTAACAGTGATCAGGCAATACAAATCACAGACAAGGAAAACATTTTCTTCTCTCTGATACCAAAAGGGAAGGGCTTATCTCCTCCTTTTTCTTACAGCATTTATTTCTTAGAGTAAATCTTTTCTCGGCCCCTTTGAGACATATGCAAGAATTTTTTAACAGCTGATAGCAATGCTGGGGGTGAGGCTCAAGTGGTAGTGTGTCTGCTTAGCAAGTGCGAAGCCTTGAATTCAATCCCCAGTACCACTAAAAAAAGGCTGACATGCAAATATATTTTATAGCTAATATGTAATCTTTTTTGGGGGGCAGTACTGGGGGTTGAACTCAGGGCCTCCCACTTGCAAGGCAGGTATTCTACACAAACATTCTTAAAAAGCTAATGCAGGTCTTAGCAGTTTTACAACCTTGAAATGTCTTTTTTGGGGACCTGGGAGCCCAGGACCCTGACTTCTGCAGGCTCCTCACTGCAAGTTACAAACCCACCTCCTGCCAGAAGACACATGGCAACTCTAATTATCAGATGGACTTAGATAAACAAGTGTGACACAGGTGCTGTCAGGTTCTCTTGCTTGAGGACAGGTGACAATAGGGTGCATATACCAGGCTCTGGCAAAGGATGAGACCCTGCCTGCATTTGCAATGGCATCTGTATCAAAGCATGCGTTAGTCCTTACTCAACAATGAAGCCTTTTCCTCCTCTTCTGCCTTGGTAGAGCGGTTTTCCAGGCTGGCAGGAAGCTATTTTTCATCATTTCCCAACATTATCTGCTTGATATTTCTCCTCCATCTCCTGTAAGTTTGATTCTAACACTGCAACCTGAGCCCAGCGCTGGTTGCTCACACATGTAATCCTCAATACTTAGGAGGCAGAGATCAGGAGGATTGGTTTGACACCAGCCCCAGGCAAATAGTTCCAGAGGTCCTATCTTGAAAATACCCAACACAAAACAGAGCTGGAGAAGTGGCCCAAGTGGTAGATCACCCATGAAGCCCTGAGTTCAAGGGCCAGTACCACAAAAAAAAGAAAAAACAGAAAGAAAACAAAGCAGTTAGCCAGCATTCAGTTTTCCTATCAGGGCAGACAGTTTGGCTGTCTCCTCACCCCGACTTTCTCCTGGGAGCTGCTCCCCGCCGGGTGGGAAAGCTTCACCAAGTGTCAGCACCCTGGCTAGGGCAGAGTGCAGACTTCACTCACTTGCAGGTTCCCAAGCTCTGATTTTCTTAAAGAAATAAAAGGCTTACTTGCTTTTTATAAGTAGCCCAGGCATGCCTGACACTTAGAAGGTCAAAGAAGGATTTTGAGTTCAAGGCCAGCCTGGGCTACATAAGGAGACGCTGTTTCAACACAAAAGGCTGGACTTTGTAGTGCACACGTCTACTCCCCGCTATTCAGGGAGCAGCGTGGGAAGCATGGTTCAAGGCCACCAGGGGAAAAAGTTATTGTGACCTCATCTCAAAATATAAGTAGGGCATGGCAGCTTGAACCTGTAATTCCATCTCTCAGAAGGTGTAGGTAGGAGGATCATGGCCTGAACAAAAACACAAGATTATCATCTGAAAAACAAACTGAAGCAGACAGGGCGGGGGTGGGGTAGGCGGGGACCATAGTCCTGAGTTCAAACTCCAGTACGACCGACTGGCCGAAGGGAAGGAAAAAAAAAAAAAACAACCAACCTCAAACAAAATAAAAGACAAAACAACAACAATAAAATAGCAACAACGAGGGGGAGGGTAAAGAAAAAGTAGTATGGGGTGAATTCGATGAAAGTACATTACACAACACACTATGAAACCCCATTGCACAATTAATTTAGGCTAATAAAAATAAAATCTGAAGATCTGTTATTTAAGGAGCTAACAACAAGCCCATTTCAGTGAGTAGGAATTTTCCTTTTTTGTTTACTCCGCCCTTCTCCCCATGTCAACTGTGGCTTGTGGACTTCAGGGCCTGGGAACAGTTGGTTGGGCAAGCTTAGACCTTGCCCAGCAAGGAAAGGGTCCTGGCCACCTGTCCCTGAGCACAGGAGGTCTGCTGGTGCCTGGTGTTTGGAAAATGCCCCCTGGGACTCCTAGGTGAGGCTTTGCCTTCCCTCTCCCGGTCCTCAACCCCATAGTGAACCACCTCCACATTCCAAGAGCAGCCCAAGGAGGCCACAGAGAGATGACACAGTACCCTGGCTTCCTATCTGAGAGAAGGTCTTCAGGGTTTCCTCTGCTCCCAGCCGGACGGTCCATTTGCTGGGTGTGTACTGTTTCTCCAGCTCCTATAGGGACACAGGCACAGGCTCTGTGAAGCACATCCCAGGCCCAGTGCTCCTCTCTGCCCTGAGAAGCCTCTACCCAAGACACAGGCTCTTCAAGATGCCCTCAGCTTCTTCACGCCCTTCCAACTTCTGCCCACTACTTCCCCCCTGGCTGCTTCAGACAAACAACGAAGATGCCCTTAGAGCCGTGCCACAGGGGCACCCTGGCAGCAGCCAAGCTGTTAACCAGCTGACACCCTTAAAGGGAGATGAGGTCCCATAAGGTGCATAGTTAACACCTCCTGGGCTCCACACCTACTGCAGCTGAGACCACGAGAGACCAGGCAGGCAGTGGCCACTGTGGACAAAGTGGCCTGGAGTCAGTCACCCAAAAGGGTGCAATTGTGATTGCAGAGGACACAGAATTCACAGGAGAGGTGAATAGGAGGGAATCAAAGGTCATCTGCAGAAGCTGCCCACCCCCAGATGGCTGAAGTACAGATAGGAGGTTGGGGTAGAGGCCAGAGGGTTTTGAAAATGGACCATGTCGTCCAGATTCAATGCAGAGAGTAGGAAGGAAACAGACTTTGGAGACAGGCTTCACAGCCATATCACGGGAAACTTGAAGACAGGGAGGCCTCCCAGAAAAGCCTGGGCCGAATATCGACCTTCATCCAGCACTGGCTGTTCCGCCCTGGGAAGCTTGCTTAGTCTCTGGACTCTGTCACTGGTAAGACGGCCATACTAGTGTCCTCACAAGGTTGAAAGAGAGGAGAAGTGTAAGTGAAATAAAGTGAGCCACTTCAAAGGTAGGTGCCTCCTTCTCCCTCCTGGAGCTGTAAAATTGAGCCATACAGGTCATTACTTGTGGGATGCTTAGAGTCCACCCGGACACTTGACTGTAGCCATCAGTTTCTGAGAGTCCCCTGATGCTGAAGGCAAGCCAGAGAGAGAGACAGACAGAGAGAGAGAGAGAGAGGAGGTATCCATAATTTTCACCGAATTCTTAGAGGTATCTGTTTATGTCCAGAAAAAGAACCACTGCCAGCCTGGTAGCTCACCCCTGTAATCCTAGATACTTGGGAGGCTGAGATCAGGAGGATCATTGTTCAAGGCCAGCGGGGGCAAACTAGTTCAGGAGACCCCCCATCTCCAAAATAACCAGAGCAAAATGGACGGCAAGTGTGACTCAAGCGGTGGAGCGCCTGCTTTGCAAGCGGTGAGTACAAACTCCAGTCCCACCAAAGAAAGAAAAAAAAAGCAAACTAGATCTGTGCTCAAGCATCGGGGCCTAGCACGTGAGCACCCGAGGGCGTGGCCTAAGAGGGTCGTAACCTCAACCCTGCGGCCCCAGCCCCTCCATGCAACCCGCCTACCTCAGCGCACAGCTTCTTCCAGGGAGCCTCGTCCCAGCCACCGGCACCGGAAACGTCCATCTTACAGTCCACGGCAGATGCACCCGCGCCCCACGCCTTCAACCTTGGGCGTGGGGGCGGGGCTACGATCAGACCACGCCCACCCGCCAAGGTCCCGCCCCCTCGGGGTCCTGAGCAGGAATTAAGTTCAAATGTCCCGCCCTACGTAAAGCCAAGGATTTTTCGGTTAAGTCTGCTGCCTTACGTAAACCTCCCGCCGGCTCGCCGATTGGACCCTGGGTCGCGCCGGCCTCCGATTAGCCAGTGCGCCTGGGCTCTACAGGCTGGGGGCGGCGCGGGAGTAGGCTGGATCCTGTCGGCTGGCAGCGGGAAGTCGGTGCTTCTGTGAGAGTCCGTATTTTGTAAAAGCCATGAGCTACATCAACCTGCCCAACGTGCTGCCCAGCTCCCCCAGCAAGACCCGGGGCCAGATCCAGGTGCGGGGTCCATCCCGCGGGGGCTCGGGGTGGTGGCCGGCGTCCATGCGTCTGCTGGGAGCAGACCCCAAGGTGACCTTCTCCTTCTCTCATAGGTGATTCTCGGGCCCATGTTCTCAGGAAAAAGGTAATAGCCTTTTTGGGGGTGGGTGGGCCTCCTCCTTCTTGGGGTCCTCCTCTCCTGTTCCCCGTCCTGGGCCTGCTGCCGTCCCCGTCCCCACCCCACCCCACCCCCCAGCATTCCTTCCCGCCATTTCTCCTTCCTGGAATCCAGTCTTGGAGGAAGGCGCGCCCTGCCCGCCGGCTCAAACTCTGCTTCTCTCTGGAGCAGCTGGTTACAGCCTTGCCGCCTGCCCCAAGTCTAAAGAAACCTGCAGGACAGTCCATTTGTGTCCACTGTGCTCTGGGCAGTGTCCCCTCGCCTCTGGCTGGGGAAACTTAGTTACTCCCCATCCCCGGGTGTCAGTGGCCCGACCATCCTTGAAGGGCCCAGGCATCACTCCAGCTCAAGGCCCTCGCTCCGAGGGTCAGACGCCTGGGACCCAAAGCAACAGATGTGGCCCACAATGGCTTTGCGAAGTTAATTCAGGAAAACTCTTGAGCCCTGGACACCTTGGGGATGCATGCAGTCGGCCTCTGCCCAGCTTCCCCCTGTGAGCCTGAGTACCGTGCTCCTCCGGCCCTTCCTGGGACCCCCGAGCGCTGCTCTCCCCATGAAGAGCCCCCAAGTGATGCAGGGCCTTCCAGTGCATTTCTGGGCGGCAAATGCAGCCAGCCCGCGCTTTCTGCGGTCTGTCCTTTGTGAGGTTCAGGCTTCCGCCACTAGAGAGTGGTGGTGAACCGGCGTCCGCGCTGGCCTCACCTGACCTTGTACTCTTGCAGCACTGAGTTGATGAGACGGGTCCGCCGCTTTCAGATCGCCCAGTACAAATGCCTGGTCATCAAATACGCCAAAGACACGCGCTACAGCAACAGCTTCTCCACACATGACCGGTCAGTCCCTGTCCTCTTTGGTCCTGTCCAATGGGAAGAATCCCAAGGCACAGGACATACTGTCAGAGCTCCACTCTCCAGTGAAGATAGCTTAGGAATTGGCCATCCTCCCTGCTCTAGCCCACTGGTTCTCTAGCGCGGTGGGGGACCCCCCCACCCCGGCCTTTGGACAATGTCTGCACACATCTTCAGTTGTGTGTGTGAGAGGGGGCTCTGGCCTCTTCTGGGTAGAGATGGACAATACTGCTATATTGCTCTGAAATTTACACCAGAGGCTGCAGATTGGTTTTGTTTGGACTTCGTTGATTTTTGTTTAATTATTTTAAGTAATTTGTCCTCAGCTGGGCCCCTGTCATCTTGTGACCTTCTGGGTTATATGTTTCTCTGCCTGAGCTCTGTGGACATTTCCTCCCACAAGCTCAGAGTGGGGGTTAAATTTAGCTCCTTGGCACTGACGTTCTGAGCCAGAGGCACGCGTTTCTCTGTGTCCTGGACTTGCTCTGGACTGTACCAGAACACAGGAGCTGCATTCCCAGATTGCCACTGGCTGTCCAGACAATAGCCACCCAGCCTGTGGCCTGGGGTGGGAGCTGCGGGGTGTCTGAAGCTGGTCAGGAGGTAGATTGGAGAAAGCCCAAGACTTGGAGTGAGTGCCAGATTCAAGCCATGCTCTCTGGCAGGGCTCTGTGATGCAGGTCCTTTCTAACTGAGGTGTCTTCTGCAAAGGGTGGGATGTGTGTGAATGACCGGGGTGAAAGAGGAGGAGGTAATGCTCTCCTGAAAGCTCTGCCAGGGTCACAAGGCACTAACACAGGCTGACAGCATCGCAGAGCTCCAGAGACAGTTCCTTGCTGGAGCCACAGCCAGCTTGCTGCGTGTTGTCCCTCTGATCTTTTCTACTTAGGGAGGGAAGAGGGAATTTAAAATGCCTGAAATATTGTTATATGTTCTCTCCAGAGTTTGAAGGTTATTAGGGAGTGGTCACGAAGTGCTTAATTTTGTAAATATAGTTACATGCTGGTGAGCCTGTCTGAAGTGTGGTTCTAAAGATGGGGCAGAAACGAAGACAGAAGAAAACAACACTGTTTAAAAAAGAACAACTGTTCAGAAGGGCAGAGGACACTGCACAGCATTCCTCTCCAGGAAAGGCCCTGGCTGTGGGGACAGGGTGGAGTCCAAAGTGCCATTTAATGGTGCTGGAAGGTTCTCAAACCTGCCTCTCCTTTCAGATTCTGTTGGGTGGGATCCTTCCTGTGGGAGACAGCTGATCTGCTCTGAAGGCTGGAATCAGACTCATTACATCCTGGCTCTGCTAGCTGACGGCCACGTGATCTTGGAGAAATCCTTTAATCAGCTGGGGTGCCAACTGGAGGAAATTCTAGGTCACAGCTCTACCCACAGGGGCCTGAGCGTATATCTGCAAGAGCAGGGCTCTCCTACCCTCAGAGTTACAGCTTTCCTGGGCCCTGGACACTTTTGCCGTAACTTTTAACTCCATAAAGAAAAGCTTTGCTTGTTTTTGAGGTTGAGGAATCACACCTAGGGCACATGCTCTCTGGCACTAAGCTACATCCCTAGCTCTCCCCAAAAATGTCACATTTTGTAGTAGCATTGATATAAAGATAAATATAACCCTGGCTGAGTTATGTTTATTTATTCTTCTGAATAAATAAAAGTGTTGGGCTGGAGGAGTGGCTCAAGTGGTAGAGTGCCTACCTAGCAAGCGTGAAGTCCTGAGTTCAAATCCCAATACCACCAGAAAAAAAACCAAATGAAAATATTTTGTTGGCACTGTCCCTGGTAAAATTGGCCTTAGGCTCAATGGTAGCAGGAGTGCCTAGCATGCTCGAGGACCTAGGTTTGATCCTCAGCACCACAAAAAAAAAAAAGAAAGTTGGCCTTGTCTGCCCACTGCTCCAAAGGGTAGGAGAGCTTTGGAGTCTTCATTGAAGTTCACATTGGACATTGTTTATTTCTAGTGCAAAGTGTCAAGTTGAGATAGCTTGTATTAAATGGCTGGTTTTCTGAACGAGACCCTTTGGAGATTCTCCCCAAATCCCTCTACATAGATACTGACTTCAAAACTGCTGGGCAGCTCTGCTTGATGGGTAAAAGTGGTCAGACCACAAGGGCACCCTCACCTGTGTTCTGGTCCTGACCCGCCATCCCCCACCCCCTTGCCTTGCTCACGCTCTGACCTTGTCTTCCCAGGAACACCATGGAGGCAGTGGCAGCCTGCCAGCTCTGCGATGTGGCACAGGAGGCCCGGGGTGTGGCTGTCGTGGGCATTGACGAAGGGCAGTTTGTAAGTGGGCTTGCTTTGGCATCACCTTTTCTAGAAGCTCTCTCTGGCATCTTTTCCCCTGCTGGTTTAGAAGTTCTTTCTGATCGCTCAGTAAAGTAACAAGGTTAGCGGGCTTCAACTAGTGTCTAAAAACCTCACACACTTCCCTCACGAGTTTTCATGTTATAGACTGCATAAGGATTTATTTTACCTTTCTTAAAAAAAAAAAAATTGTGGGTGTAGCTGCTTGCCAAGTACACGTGGGGCCCAGCACCCTCCACACCAACTACAGTGAACAAAAAGATAAATTTCTCAACACTGATGTGTTTGGCTCCTCATTGCTTCCTGCTTGATACTTATGGTCTGTGTGTCAGCTTTCTGTTGCTGTGGCAAAACACCTGAGAAAATCAACTTGAGGAAGAGTTTACTTTGCCCCTGTTTCAGAGGTTTCAGTCCCTGGTCATTCCGGGCCTCTGGTAAGGCAGCACCTGCGGGGGGAGTGTGGTGGAGCATTCACGGCCTCCAGGAAGCCAAGAGAAAGCGTTTTTTGCTTGTTTGTTTATTGACTGAGACAGGGTCTGGCTAGGTAGCCTGGGCTGCCTTGAACTGAGTGTGCAATAGTATCTTGCCTTTAGCAGTAGGAATCTTCTTTCATTTTCTTCCCTGTGCCAACCATGGCATGTGGACTTCAGGGCCAGGGAGTATTCCAGCAGAGCACGAGGTGAGGCTAAGCATACTCAACTGCGCTGTGGACCTCGTCTCTGCTCATAATCAATATTCATTTTTGTTTAACAATCATTGTTTTGGGCTTTGTTTTTGGAATCTATGTTGTTCCTTCCTGAGAAAATCTTGTGTTAGTCTTCCAGTTAACTAGATTTTGTTTCTTGAGAAGCACATATTCTGATTGGTTTGTGGGTTATCTTTTTATCTTTTTTTTTTTTTTGGTGATACCGGAGTTTGAACTGGGTTTTTTTGAGATAGGGTCTCTCGAACTATTTGCCTGTACTGTCTTTGAACTGTGATCCTCCTGATCTCTGCCTCCTGAGCAGCTAGGATTACAGGCATGAACCACTGGCGTCTGACATGGGTTATCTTTTGAGGTCTCGGTTTCCCTCCTTTGCTTTGGATTTTTTTTTTTTTTTTTTTAAGTTTATCTTGAAACCAGAACTCACTCTCAAAAGGGCCTAGCTTATGTAACCCCTTAGACATTTTTAAGTTTGCTTCTCATCTATTAGGGAAAGTAAGGAGAGCTGCTGTGACAAATATACCCCAAATTCCAGAAGCTTAACTTGCCAAATTTTTAAAAATACCTCAATTGTCATTGTCAGACAAACACAGAATATATAGATGGTATACAACCTAATGATTTGCTATAAGTAGCCCATGCGACAGAAATGTATTTCTCACTCATAGTCCTAAATGGTTCCAAGTTGACTGATGGGGATATCCACCCACAAGGATTGCCGTTGGTGACATCCACAGTGGCTCCATCAGTTGGTGGGAGGAGAAAGGCCCAGCGGACACCGTAGGTGCGGGGTCTTCATGGCCGGGGAGAAGTTGGGTATATCACCTCTGCTGGCCTTCTGCAGACTAGCATCTGAGCACAGTTTCCTGCCTGCACCCTTAACCTAGCTCTACACCCTGGAGGAAAATATTTGCTTTTTGGCAAGGTGTCATCAATCTCTGGTCATCCTGCCTCCCAGTATAGAATCAGGTGATGTAAGTCACAGACGTACACTTCACTGCCACAGTGAGGCTGACAGGTCACCTACGTTTTTAAGCCTGTACGGTACGGCGGCAACCTTTTGGGCGCTGGGGACACGAACCAGACGTCCTATGCTTGAGTTTCTCTATGTCACGTGGTGCTAGGAATTAGGGGGAGGCCCACGATGGGGCAGAGCATTAAGGTAGGGATGGTCAGAAGAGGCCTGAGTGTGGAAAAGAGTGAGCTAGCAGGAACCCAGGGGCCTCTGAGCAGAGCGGAGGGCAGCTGCCAGCAGCTGTGCCTTCGGAGAAAGGTGTGACTGGTTAGTAGCCGGGGCAAAGGGCTTTGAGCAGGCAGTAAGGACTTGGTTGTGAACGCTGGAGAAAGACAGGAAGTTGCTGAAGGGTGCTGTTGGGAATGTGGAGACTGGACATCTGGTCCAGAGGACAGTGGTGAGGCCAGCTGGGCTTTTGAAGAAGCCCCCAGGGAGGACAGCAGCTTGGCTGGGGTTATGGATTATTGCACACACCTCCTGGCTGCATTTCTCATGACTAACATGGCTCACCCCTTCTGCTTTCAGTAAGGCTATTTGTGTCTTTCTCTCTGGGTGCCCCTGGTCACACGCTGTAAATGTCTCTTCTCTATTTTGTGCCTAAGTGTGCTTGTGGGTGCTTCACTCAGTCCTCTACCATTAGGATTTGTTTTTTTTTGGTGGAACGCAAGTTTGAACTCAGGGCTTCAGGTTTGCATACCAGGCACTCTCCCACTTGAGCCACACCCCCAGTCCGTTTTTGCTCTGGTTATTTTGGAGATGGAGAGGTCTCTTGAACTCTTTGCCCAGCCTGGCCTCAAACCACAATCCTCCCAATCTCAGCCTCCCAAGTAGCTAGGATTATAGGTGTGAACCACTGGCACCCGACTGGGAATTTGTTTCCTCACTGCCACATCCTTCTCTCCTGCCCTTGGTGGCTTTGCCATTGAACTTTTAATGCCAGGTTACAGAGCTCATGTTCCAAGGGCCAGAGCTCATTCCAGATGTGCCATGAAGGGCTGATGGAGTGGCTCAAGGTGTAGAGCGCCTGCCTAGCAAGCGTGAGGACCTGAGTTCAAACCTTAATACCACCAAAAGAAAAAACAGAGAGAAAACCCAGCTGATCCACGAGCCTGCTAGCTCTTGGCGAGATGTTGAGGAAGGTGAAAATGTACTTGCAGGGTTTTTAATCTCACTTTTGTGTAATGGGGAGGCTCACTGAAGGTCCTGCAGGTGCAGAAACAGTGAGTGGACACTATCACCATCAGTAGGCTCCTTGCTACTTTTCTATACTCCAGTCCTGTGCGTTAATTATGCCTGCCTATCCAGAAAGCCCTGGATAGGCTTACTGAGATCCTTGAAGTTTGATTTTATTTTACTTTTCCTCGTAATGCTGGGGACACAGCCCAGGGCCTCATACACACTAGGCAAGCACTCCACCACTGAGCTGTACCCCTGAAGTTCCATTTTTAAATGTAACCTTCCTTAGACTGCTATGGCCTCCATCACACAGCACTGAGATGGGGTTTTAAACAACAGAACCTTATTCTCTGATCTTGGCCGGAAGTCTAAGATCAAAGTGTCAACAGGACCGGTTCCTTCTGAGGGCAGTCAGGAAGGATCTGGGTCTCTCTCGTTGTTTTACAGAGGCCCCCAGCCAGATGCAGAAGTCTGATGCTAGGGCCTTGGTACCAGGTTTGAAGTGGCACATGGCTGAGCCATGGGAAAGACTGGGCAGCAGTGGCGAACATGTCGTCCTAACTGGGAGCATGTATACGGGGCACCTGTGGGAGTGAGGGATCAGCTGGTTCTCCAGCCCTGGCTGTGGGATCTGGCTCCAGGAAGCCACTGCTCAGGGTAGCAGCTCACCCTCTCACTCCACCCTTGTTCTAGTTCCCTGACATCGTGGAGTTCTGTGAGGAAATGGCCAACAATGGAAAGACCGTGATTGTGGCAGCCCTGGATGGGACCTTCCAGAGGAAAGTAAGGCACCTGATCCAGCCCTTGCAATGGGATTGGGAGGGGAGGAAAAGGGCCTCTCAGTCAGTGGGCACAAGGCAGTATACAAAGATGGTCAGTCCACTTGATCCTTCTCAGTGAAGGATGCTCTGAATGATAAGGGCTGGACCACTATGTGACCAGACCTTGCCTGAGCCTAGGGCCTCCCTGGTCTGCCCAGGAGTGGGTGTGTCTACACTGCCTGCCATCTGCTGCTAGCAGGTGCTCTAAGTTGGCAAAGGAACAGAGCAGAGCATGGTGCTCTAGAAAAGCAAGGTCAGAGTGATTTTTCCTGGCTTTGGTGCTCACGAATCAAAAGGGTTTCAAAGAGAAGCAAGAGTCCCTGGCCAGGTGACTGAGCACACCTGCCATCCCATGGGATGTAGGCTTTCGGCACCATCTTGAACCTGGTTCCCCTGGCGGAGAGTGTGGTGAAGCTGACAGCAGTGTGCATGGAGTGCTTCCGGGAAGCTGCCTACACCAAGAGACTGGGCCTAGAGAAAGAGGTAGCCCCATCTGTCTTTTGTCTGCGAAGTAGGGCGGGGTTCTGCCTGAGTCCTGCCCCTTCACACCTATCTCTTTGTACCTCTACCACCAGGTGGAGGTGATTGGTGGAGCAGACAAATACCACTCTGTGTGTCGCCTCTGCTACTTCAAGAAGCCTCCAGTCCAGGCTCCAAGGCTGGACGACAAAGAGAACTGGCCAATGTTGGGAAAGCCAGGGGAGGCCACAGCTGTCAGGAAACTCTTTGGCCCCCAACAGGTCCTACAGTTCAGCTCTGTCCACTGAGGGAGACTGGGGCCTCTTACTCCCTGTGTGGCCTCAGAGAAGCAGGCCCAGGGAGGAGATGGGCTCCATCTCATGAACTCTCTGCTGTGGGCCTGCACTTCAAACCTGGTCACATGTCACATCCTCCCCTTGGCCTTTTCTTACCCCTCCCACCTGCTGGGATGACCCACCTCAGGGAGGCTGGCCATGTCTGGTGGTTTGGGGTCTGGCTACTACAGATGTTCCCTCTGGGGAAGGGCAGAACCATATGTCTATTGGGACATTACTGCCACCTGCTTCTTCCCCCTTTGTGGTTTTCACTGCTTAGTTTTTGTTCTCCCTGGCAAATCCATACAGCATCTCCTTTGAAGTTGTCCTACACACAGGCTCTCATCCTCCCCACACACACCCTAGGACAGCCTGGCCTGGACTCCAGCCCTCTTACTGCCCCTTGAGCTGAGGGCCCTACCTATGCTCTGGCACTGGTCTCCAAAATAACATCTTTTGGGCTGACAGAGTGGCTCAAGTGGCAGAGTGCCTGCCTAGCAAGTGTGAAGTCCTGAGTTTAAACCCCAGTACCACAAAAAATATATACTATCTTTCATGTGAGTGTCACCAACTCTGCCAGGGCTCAGACCCCAAGGAACTTGTTTCAAAGTGGTGGGCATGGCCCATGTGTCTTTTATAGTATATATGGAATTTAATATTAAAATTCAGTAGTGGGTAAAGGCACATTTCTCTTTAACCTGGGTTTCCCCAGGTCTCATATAGACAGCTCCTCCTGTGATTTGGTTGGGGATTTTTCCTAGGTCTTTTTGTCGTACACTGATCTCAACCACAACTCTTTTCAACAGAAATGTCCATGGAGCGTGTCCTAAAGAGGAACAGTTGCCTACCTTTCTGTCTGTCTGGTTTCAGGATATAAATGGGTAAACAGTGCCTGGGGCCCAGGTTGGAAAGCCGTGGTGTTGGTGTTGCCAGCTGGGGCTGAGAGGCCAGTTTTTGTTTGTGAAACAGACACTTGATAGTTGGAGAGCTGAGAAGACAGCTCAGTTGTGCCTCGGAAAGTGGGCTCAGACCCTGCCAGTGGGGCACTATTATTTTGCACTTGGGATTTTGAAACCGTCAGGGCACACTGTTATCAGTTCCTTGTAATTGTTCAAAAGAGGAAGCCAGGGATTGCTTCAGGGGCCCTGCTTTCTGTTAGAAGTGGCCCACTCAACAGGAGTGAGAAAGTGGCCAGTCCTACTCCCTGTGCACCAGGAAGTTCAGAAGGGCTGGACAGTGGAGGGCGTGGTTCCACCCCTCCTATTGTGCCCCTCTCTCTGCTATGAGTGGTGAGAAGGAAAGAACTACAGGGATGAGGCTTCAAAAAGAAACTCCCAGGGTCCCCTTAAGTCTAGAAAGGCAGCCACGGCACCCTTGCAAAGCAATCTTTAGCTTGTGCAGCTGAGCATGGTTGCTGTTTTGGGGTACTGGTGGAAGGCAGTGTGAGAAATGAGATCCCAGATGGGGGTGATCACTACTTCTGCAGAAGGGGAACCTCAAAATGCAAGTTCTGGGCTAGAGGTATAGCTCAGTGGTACAGTAGTAGGGTGCTTGCCTGGCATATTCAAGACCCTACTTTCTATTCCCAGCACTGCAAAAAAAAAAAAATTCACCTGGATTAGAGGTATGGCTAAAAAGGTGGAACACCTGCTCTGCAAACACAAACCCCTGAGTTCAAACCCCCATCCCACCATAGAAAAAAGTTCCCCAAATCCCCTTTCCCCCACCAGTGGAATTCTACCCCCAGGTGGAAACACACATTTATTTCATCTCCGAACCAGTCCACCAATCCAAGGACAAGGAGTGCTCCCCGCAAGGCTTCGATACATTCCAACTGTGGGGCTCCTGCCCTCCTGATGCTGCATGACTAAAGTTGCAGAGGTTTTACATAAAGCTGGGTGTTACTGTCAGGCAAAGCCCTTCCCTGCTACCAGAGGTGGGAACAAAAAAGTATTGTCCAGTCCCCTCAGGGTGGACAACTGGCCCCCATGGCTTTCAGGAAAGCAGCTCAGGGCAGATGGCACGGAGTGGTAACCCCAGGGATACAGCAGTAAGCACAGGGCCCCTAGCCCAAGGTTAGGCAAGGGCAGGACCAAGGCCCAGAATCATGGGAGGCTGGAGTGACAACCCTGAGTGAGGAAATGGGGTCCTGAGCCCAGCACCCCAGAGAGACAGCTGGAACCCCTTGTCTTTGGCAAAAAGCCCAAATAACTGGCTTCCAGAGCCTCTGGCTGGGCTCTGTGCTTTTGGGCTGGAGGATGCTACAGCACTTGTCAAAACAGTACATCAGAGGGCACTCTGGCTACTCCGGGCAGGATGGGGGGCAGGTAGGGGTCATTAAAGCAATGAGCTAGGGAGACAACTGTGGTAGAACATTTGTCTAGCACACCCTAGGCCCCGGGTTCTAACCCCAGCACTGCAAAAAAAAAAAAAAAAGCAATGCAATATCTAACTAAAACCCCCTTCCTAAAGAATGCCCTTGAGGAGTGGGTGGGTGACTGGAGCACCTTTGGGCACAGGCACTTTGGTGCTGCAGGAAGGCAGGCTCCCCAGGCTGCCAGCTGTGACAGGTGCAAGGCAGAGGAGAGGGGCTGCAGCTCCAGGAGGCAGGCCTCAGGGTGGAGGGGTTGCCTAGGTGCCCTGTCTGCCTCCTTGCCCCGCCCCCAGTGGCAGTTTAATACACAACGGGCGGCTGGTATCCCTCAGTGGTCTCTGCATTCTGGGTGAAGGGTGGCTGCTGGTAGTTTTCCACTGATGCACTGGGATAGGAGGCATAGGCCGTGCTGGGGTCCGGGGTGGGGTCCACATAGTTCTGGATGAAATCGTCCACTCCCACCTTGTAGCGCTGGTAAGCCAGGGAGGCCAGCACACCCTGTAGGGAGACCCAAGGGGTGGGCAGGGCAGAGGATGCAGGGCCAGAAGGAACTTCAGCCCTCCACCTCAGTCTTTCCTTTTTTTCTTGTAAGGTACTAGGGATGGAAGCCAGGGTCTTGCACACACTCTTAACACAGCTATGTCCCCAGCCCTGCTCCCCAGTCTTCACCAAAGACCACGAACCTGCCTGCCTGGGCATACCTACCCAGGAGAAAATGGAGAAGAAGCTGAAGGTGATGGCTGCTCGGGCTGAGTCGGCTCCCACCAGCACGTCACTTAGCTTGGTGGCTGCCCACTGGTTGGTAAGGAAGCAGAAACCAACAAACCACAGGAAGGTCCAGAGAGCTGGGGAGAGGACGGAAGGAGGAGGGTCAGTTTCAGGGAGGGGTAGGGGCTTTCCAGGGACCTAGGAAGGCCCCAAGGAGGAAAGGAAGATCCTAAGGCAGAGAACTCCTACAGCCTCAGGATGTAAACTACAGTAGCAGAGGGGAGAGCTAAGGGACTGACCACTGGGAAGTACCCAGTCAGGAGGCCTGGTGCCAGAGCCCTTCTCGTGTACCCCCACCCCCTTGAGTTTCAACAGTCAAAAAGCCTTCTGTCCAACCCACAGTATAAAGGGACCTGGGCAAAGCCTCTCTGCTTAAGTGGGGCTAGTGAACACAAACTGCTCTTCATTCCTCCCCAGGGCACCAAGGCCCCTCCATTGCAAAGCCCTGGTGATAACAGCTCTCCCTCCTTCCTGTGCACCTCCCAAGGGCAGACAGGGGCCACAGGCAGATACCTGAGAAGAGCAGGTCAGCGATGACCAGGTATTTGCGGTCAGTGGCATTGCTGATCTGAGGGAAATAGATATCAACCACGAAGAAGAATGCCGAGGCCAGGAAGGCCAGCACCCCAATGGCAGAGCCATAGCGGCAGGCGTCCTCATTGTGGTTGAACACACAGTACAACTGTGCAGACTCCGAGCTGTTGCTGTAGCCCTCGCCGAAGATGCAAGAGAACACGATCAAGGCAAAGATCTGAGGGGGAGAGGAAGATGCGGTGGCCACCCAACAGATCCCCATGGGGTATGTCCAGTGCATACACATGCAATGACTGGAGATCAGGGACCCTGACAGGGTGTGGGGTCATTCACCTGTCCCCCTACTGCTGTCCCCCCTCTTTTTCCTGTTTTTTCAAACAGGGTCTCACTATGTAGCCCAGGCTGGTCTCGAACTTGTGATCCTCCTGCCTCAGTCTCCCCAGTGTTGGAATTACAGCATGTACCACTACACCTGACTGCTAAGGTGAGCACTGCAGCCCCTTTTGGACTTACTGGAGTGAGGTGATGGGCAAATTGTTCCCTAGGCATGCCCAGACCACAGTCCCCCATGACCCGGGGCCCTGCCCAGAGATTTCTGGACTGGGGAGGGGTGGGGAACGGACGGGGATCTTCTGGGAAGGACTGCCCCTTCCTAGCAGCCTTCCTACAGAGGTCATCTCATTTAGACTGGTGATGGGGATGCAAGGTAGTCACCCACCCCCACTTCAAATGAGTTTTAAATTAGATGGGCTGCAAAGTCACAGCGCCTTGGCTTGGAGTCTCACTCACCCTGTGCTGTCACTTGGCACCTGAGTCAGCTTTCCAGTGATTTTGCCTGAACAGCCAGTGAAGAGGATCCACACCTCTGGAAAGCCATGCCAGGGGCCCCAGGATTTCTACCTTTTCAGCAGCTACCCAAGCCCTGTCCACGTCTTCCTGGGTCCACACTGGACTCCCCAGGCTGGCCAGCCTTCTCCCTACAAGGATTTCTGGCTTCTTTGGCATCCTAGTCTCTTCCCCTCCCAGGAACCTCCAGTCTGTCAACACCCCCACAGTGGGTCTCTCTGCATCAGGGGCTCCAGACACTCTGACCACAGGCCTGTGGGCACAGCTCTGTACTTAGACCCTGCAGGAGCCAGGATAGGGGTTGTCACCAGCTGAACTCCCCAGAGGGATTCCAGTCCCTTACAAACAGCCCCATGTCACTTTTCCTCCTCACCAGACTTCAAGGTGACCATTCATCCCATCCCACCTCAGCAGGTATCCTAAGTCTGTGTCCTAAGACACCCTCCCACCGCCCCATCCCTCCCCCACAGTCCCTATCCTGCCCTTCCAGGGAGCTTTCAATAGGACTCTGGAGCTGGCAGTCACAAGCTCCACCCCCAGCTGCGGATGAAGCCGGAACTCTGGGAGCTGGGTGCTGGACAGGACTCCTGGCACTGCCATCCTAGCCCACAGGGCATCTATCTGTTCCTTGGGTATAGCCCGGGATGGAGCCTGTCGGACCCCAGTCAGGCTGGGAGGGGTCAGGGGTGTCATGAGGCACCTTGGAAGGCTCCAGTCCCGGCCAGGTACCCTCTGAGTGCACTAGGCCCACGCTCAGCCTGGCAAGCTAACACCTTGTCCAGTTTTCAGCTGGCTGTAGAAAGGCAAGGACAGCCTCCATACACTTGGGACTATGGGGCTTGCTCAGCTTATGGAGAGAGGCACATCCCGGGAGAGTAGACCCATGTCCTGCTCCTGAGTGGAAAGGAGACCCTGTTTCAGAGCGCCAGGCCCACCCCCTCCCGGCACCCCACGTGGCTTCAGAAAGCCCCTTCCCGGTGAATCCCCCAAGCTGGGAGTCGCGGTGAACCGGCCACCTGTTCTGGAGCGGCCTCAAGCTCCTCCCACTGCCAGCAGGGCGACAGGCCTGCTCCCCGCTGCGCCTCCGGGACACCCCGCGCCAGGGTGCTGGGGACTCGGGAGGTTGCGGGTGCGGCCGGGACTGGGTGGAGGAGGCGGCTGTGCTCGGGGCCAGCGAGTGGGCTAGGTGACAAGGCGAGGGAGGGGACAGAGGGACCCTGCACGCCGGCCCCACGCGCGCCGCCAGGCCCCGGACATGCGGCCGCCGCCACCTGTCGCGCTCTCGGGCTGGGGGATCCCGCGGGGACTCGGCGGAGGGGGGGGCTCCCCTTGGCGCCCCGACCCGCTGCCCCTGGCCCCACCCCAGCTTACCAGGCACAGGACGCGCGCCACCACCTGCGGCTGCGCCAGGAAGCGCTGCAGGTCGAAGGAGCCGCCCGCCTTGGCCGCGCCGTAGGCCCCGCTCTCCATGTCGCCGTCGCCGTCGCCGCCGAGCCTCAGAGTGCCAGAAACCAGCCGAACAGCCCCGCCCCGTCCAGTCCGCAGGGGGCGTGGCCACGCGGCCGCCAGGGACCGGGAGCAAAGTGCCGCCCTCGCGAGCGGCGGCGGCAGGTGGCGGACAGTGCAGGACCCGCGTTCGGAGCCGCGGGGAGGGGTGCAGCCGCGGAGTGCTCCGTGTCCACCCCACTTCCACGGCCGGGGGCGCGTCCTCCTGCTACGCTGGCTAGCAGCACAACCAGAAAGGGTCAGAGAGTCCCCAAGAAAAGGAACGGACGTGCCCCACCCCTATACTCTTTGCCCTGCCCTTTGGTCCCCTCTCCAGGAAGCCCACTAGACGCCCGTGTGGACCCCACCTGCCCAGGACCCAACCCCTCCGCCTCTCCTTCCCCCATTCCGCGCGAAACCCCAGGCAAGGGTTGAGGGCGGAGCGCAGTGGTAGAGCGCTTCCCTAGCAAGTGCACAACCCTGGCTCCATCCCCAGCCCCTCAAAGGTAACTCAGGCCACGGCCTAGGGCCCCCTCCAGGCTGGTAACTCTTGCCTCCTCTCTGGAGCTAAGCCTGGAGTGAGGCCGGAGTCCCTTCCCCATTCTTATTGGCCTAGCCAGGCCAGGCCCTGAAGGGCCGATGTCTGCACACTTGGACGTACCAAGATCGTGTGCAAACAGAACCCAGAATCCTAGGGTGACAGACAGGGGCAGAGTTTAATCCAGTTCTAGCCTCTCCCCCCAAAAAAAACATCTGGGAAGGGCTGGCTAGTGATTAGTGTCAAGCTGTGTGTGAGGGTGCTCTGTGGGGAGGGGGATCTGCAGGGGCCACACAGCTGAAACCAGGGAAGAATTCCCAACACCTCTGGCTAGGGATGGGTAAGGGAGAACAAGAGCAGGTGCATCAAGTGTGCTGGACAGTGTGAGCTGAGCCACTAGGAGGAGGGACCACTCCAGGGAAGTGGGGAGGAGCTGGGTCTTTTCCAGTCCATTCCCCACCTTCCCTCAAACTTGGATGGACGGTGATAAGCTGCTGGGAAATGAGCCCAGGGACCCCATAGGTCCTCCTCCTTCTAACTGTCCACCTCCTAAAATCCTCACACCAATACCATGAGTGTTTACTGAAGGGCTGCAGGGCTCTAAGAGTCCTAGCTGGCAGGCTTTTCTCTCCTTTACTTCCTTCCTTCCCTCCTTACTTATTTATTTATTTTAAGACAGGGTCTCACCATGTAGCCCAGGCTGGCCTCAAACTCAAGCCCCTCTCGAGTACTGGGATTACAGCTGTGTACCACTACACCTGGCTTTCTTTCTTTTTTTCAGTGCTTCGGATTTTTTTCTTTTCAATAAATTTTATTGTGTATATTTAAGGTATACAACACGGTGTTAAAGGAACACAGAGATACTTAAAAGGCTGCTATAGTGAAACAAATGACCGCATCCATCTTGTCAGACACCTATTGTTTTGTTTTTGTGGCAAGAGCAGCTAAAAGCTCATTCAGTACAAGCCCCACCTGCAGTACAATTTCTGCCACTTTGAGTCCTCAGACGTATGTCTCCCCATCTCCTCCCTCCAGAGGCTCTTCTTCATTCCAGTGGTGGGGCCTTCCACAGGGCTGGAAGGCAAGTCTTGAAGCACTCCCAGAGGACTCTGCAAGCCTGTGTCTTCTGGTCACAGCCTTGGTTGCAAAGGAGGTGATGCACCAGGTCAGCAGGCTCACCCCTGCCGGGACCTCTGCGAGTTTTATTGTGCCTAGAGCATCAGTGCCCTGGGCAGGAGGAGAGACGTGATGCTTACTCACCCCAGTAAATGAAGGGGGACACTGAATCACTGAGAGGCCAAGCACTAGCCCCTGGTCACATGGTCAGTGGGAGCCAGGTTTCTGCATCCCATTTTATGGAAAAGCGCAATGAGTCTCAGAGAGATGACATGCTCACCCATGAGTTTGGCCTCTGGACAGGACAGACTTGGGAGGAGGGGACCCCAAGGTGTGACAAGTGCCGAGATGAAAGACTCAAGGAGGCAGGAGTGACTACCATCCAAGGCCACTTTAAACACCAATAAAGTGATGGCTTTGGAAAAATGACCTCGGTAAGCCACACCCCTGCCTCCTGGCACTCCATGGGAAAGGGTGACCAGTGGGACTCCATGGAGGACAGAAGTTTCTGGCCTACTTGGGCTTCATCGCAAGGAACACAGCCAGACCAGAGGCCAACTGACCATCACAGGTGGCTGGGGGCACTGGTCAGGGGTAGATGTGCAGGGACCTGGTAAGCCTTGGTAGATCCTTGGCACCATTGCAATGGCCCTACCCTGCAAACCTGCCACCCACTGCTCCCAGCAGGGCTCTAGTCAGTCCACAGAAGTGGTTAGTGGCTCTTCCTCCCCCACCCATCGAGCACCATGGCCTACCTGGTCCGGACCATCCAGCAGGTGATGGCTGCAATGGTGAAGAGGCTGCCGGCCAGCACGCTGGTGGGTACCAGGGGCAGCTGCACTGTGAGGGTGGCGAGGAGGCTGGGTTGGGCTGGCTGCCTCCTGGAGCCCTTCCCGCTCTGGTCAGTGGCTGAGTCAAGTTGCTCTGTCCCCCACCCACCTCCCTACTGGACACTCTGGCACGGCCCCTCCCAGCACAGAAGGGCAGCCTCACCCGGGGGCACCAACTTGAAGGCACTGCTCTGGACACTGACACTGTTCTCAGCCTGGCACTGGAACCAGCCCCACATCCCGGACAGCTGGAAGTTGGCAGGCTGCCCATGGTGCGGCCTCTGCTGCATGTAGACGCGCCCGTTCTTTCCCACCAGGAGATAGCTGATGGGTGGGCTGCCCGAGGATGCCTGGCAGGACATCTCCGCCCTGGGGCCTGACTCTCTGTCCTGCAGGGTGAAATCAACCTGCACCTGGGACACTGGCTCTGGCAAGACGGGAGGGAGGGAAGGCGTGACAGAGCTGTGGCTGGGAGGCATTGCACCAGCCCCCATAAGTTCTTCTTGCAAACTGCTGGAGGACCCCAGAGGCTTGTTGTGACTGCCACCTCCCCCAGGCAGCCCTCTGGAGTGCCCTCTCCCTGTGTGCCTGGGCTTCTAGCCTGCTTGCACACAGTTGCAAGTTTTTTTGGTTTGGTTTGTTTGGTTTTGGTTATTTTGGCACTACTGGAGTTTGAACTCAGGGCTTCAGCCTTGCCAGGCGGGTGCTCTACCTCTTAAGCCACACCTTTGGTCTGGTTTTATCTTGTGTAGTGGATTTCAGGTTGCCAGACAGCAAATAACAACAAAGTTAAATTTGAATTTCAGATAAGCTGAATACTTTTTAGTATCAATAAGTCCCATGTAAAATTTATTTGGCAGCCCTCATTATACGCTTGGAGTTAAGTAAAAATTATAAGAGGTCATTGTTTTGTTTTTGGGTTTTGTGGCAGTACTGTGGTTTGGACTCAGAGCCTTGCACTTGCTAGGCAGGAGCTCTACCACTTGAACCACTCCACCAGGCTAAGTCCATTGTTTTGGACTGAGCTCCTATGCAGACCAGGCTAAAAATAAAAATGGAGTCACTCCCACCGAAGTCACCAAAGTAAAACTAAATGATCTGAATGTTCTAATAAATCAGGATTAGACAGAGAGAACCGTCAAATTTCCCAAACATATCAGTTTCACCAAGCATGATAATAAGCTTTCTCAACCTAAAGTAATCTGATGTTAACCAGTTTTTTGTTTTTATGCTTTTCTTTTTAGATCCTGAAGATGCGACCCCATCCTTGTGCACACTAGGTAAGTGCTCTATCACTGAGCCACGTCCCGGCCCCTATCAGTTAATTTTCTATTGTTCCGCCTTCCAAGAAAAGAAACTTGGTTTTTTTTTGGTGGTGCTGGGGTTTGAACTCAGAGCCTCTAGCTTTCTAAGCAGGTGCTCTACCACTTGAGCCTCGCCCCTGGCCCAAGAAAAGCAACTTTGAAATGACCATTCCACTCTTTCTTTTCCATTCTTGCTTTCCTCGGTCTTTCTCTGTCTCTAAAACCAAGCTTTCAAGGCTAGGAGAAGGGCTCCATAGCAGCTCACGGGCTTGGCAGGCCTAAGGCCCTGGCTTCCATCCCCAGCACCCCCCAAAAAGAGAATAAAGCCAGAAAACCTAGCCTCTCCTGCTCTGCCAAGCGAACACTTACTCTAGTATACGTAACAAAGTGTTGGGCTGGCAGAATGGCTCAAGTGATAGAGTGCCTTCCTTGCAAGCATGAGGGCCTGAGTTCAAACCCCAGCACCACCAAAAAAAAGAAGGATGAAGTGTTGCCTGATTGTAGAATTAAAACATAAGGCCAATGTCCTGTTTGACCCTTAGCAGAGGGGGTAGAGAGATCTGTGGAAAAGGACAAAATCATAAACTTTTTTTTTTTCAGTGCAGGGGATAAAACCCAGGTCATGCTAGGCAAACCCTCTCTCACTGGGCCACACCTCTAGCCCTAGTCCTTTTTTCCCCTCTTTATTTTATTTTGATATAGGGTCATGCTATGTAGCCCAGCCTGGCCTTGAACTCATTGCTCCCTCAGCCTCTGAGTAACTGGAAGGACAGAAATGGCCACCACACCCACCTTACCTCTTTTATTGAAAGGCAAGTTCCTCAGGACAAGAACTATCACTTACTCAAGTGACAGAACACCTAGCTAGCAAGCGTGAATCCCTGAGTACAAACCCCAGTACCACCACCACAAAAAAAGAAAGTCACTTAGAAGATTCTAGAATCCAGAATCTTCAGCCTGATGCTCTAAATATCCTTATTAACTGGTAACAGTCCCATGCCTGGTCCCATCCTTGTCTCTTCACTTAATCCTCCGTGCCCTGGATGTTCTTGTTATTGTCTTGTTTTGCAGGTAAAGGAACTGAGGCCTGGAGGCTGACCCACAGCCAGGGTGCCAGGGGAGCCAAACCCTCCACCTGGTGGGCTGCCACCACAGATACCTTTCCCCAGGCTGCCTCCCCTGGTGTTCTGTGAGACAAAGAATGGATGGAGGTCCTCATCCCACCAGAGGCCCCAACACTTCCTGGTTCCCTGGCCCAGGGCTCCCAAGAAGGACACCCCTGTGATGGAATGAGATGGAGATGGGAAGGAGGCAGGGTTTGGGGTGGACAGAGCAAGGTTTGAAACCAGCCTTGGCCACTTGCTAGTGGCCTGGGACAATCTCCTCAAAGTCCCAGAAGAAGCTGCCGTGAAGATGAACTGAGATAACTTACAGACCTAGGTCAGGCGTGGGTCACTTCTGCTCCTCTCGCACACTGTGCCCTCAGCCCCCAGCCTAATGGGGTTGCCCTGCCAGCCCCATGGGATGGTGCAGAGCCCTGATGCCGACAGCCTGTCCTCCTCCGTCCACTCTCCTGCCCTGGACCTCTCTACCCTTCCCCAGTGCCCACCACTCCCACCCGTGGAGTGGTCCCCAGCACTCACTGGCCCACAGCTCCCAATACATCTGCAGCCTGGCGCTGGGCCCGTGGACACCCAAGGAGGAGGCCGCCTGACAGAAGTAGGTGAGCAGGTCTGGGCTGGACTTTAGCGTGATGTTGATGTTGAAGGAGGCTGGCTTGTGGGTGTCCATCACCTTCTTGTCCACCTGCATGTCCCGACTGGCCAAGAGAGAATAGGTGACAGGCGGCGGTGCCTGGGATGCGTTGCATGTGATGCGTACTTGGCGGCCTCGGGGGTACACCTTTAGGACTTGGTAAGCAATGGAGATCTCTGGAGTGGCCTCTAGGAGGTGGATGGTCCGAGGAGGAAGAAAGACCAAGACTTACCAAGTGCTTAGGAAAACGCTGATGTGACAATTCCTCGAGAAGTTAAAGCATTAGCAGATGAGTCAGCAATTGCACTCCTAGACATAACAGACTGAGGGGACTCACACATGCCTGTGACACACTGTGCACGGCCACCAGAGTGACCAGACACCTGGAACAGCTCAATGAGAAATGCAGTGTGTTTGACCATACAAAGGAATATTTTTAAGTAAAAGGTAACGTGGTTAGGGCAATAGTTCCATGGAGCAAGGCGCACACACACACACACACACACACACACACACACACACATAGCTGGGCCCTGGTGGCTCAAACCTGTAATCCTAGCTACTCAGGAAATAAAGATCAGGAGGATCGAGGTTTGAAGCCAGCCTGGGCAAGTTTGCAAGATCCTATCTGGAAAAAACCCATCACAAAAAAGGACTAGTGGAGTGGCTCAAGGTATACTAAGTTCAAACCCCAGTACCACAAAAATACTCAATACAAAAAAGGGCTGGCAGAGTGGCTCAAGTGGTAGACTGCCTGCCTATAGCAAGCATGAGGTCCAGAGTTCAAACCCCAATACCACCAAAAAAAAAAAAAAAAAGAAAAAAGAAAAAAACCCACAAAAATCAGTCAGACACAAAGGGCAACCGTTTTGTGAAATGTCCAGAATAGGAAAATTTAGAGGCGGAAAGCAGGCTGGTGGCTAGTAGGGCCTTGGGTACGAGGTACAGGGAGTAGCTGCTTAACAGATACGGGTTTTCTTTTGGGGTGATGAAGTTCTTTGCAACTAGATAGTCATGGTGGTTGTGTAACACAGTGAATGTACTAAGGGCTACTGAGTTATCACTTTTGTGCTAATCTTATTACGTACATTTCTTTTTTCTTTTCTTTTCAGACTGGGCTCAGACTAGTGATCCTTGTGCCTCCACTTGAGTGCTGGAATTACTGGTATGAACCACCGTGCCCGGCTGTGCTGAGATTTGGATATGAGCAGGTGGGCACACAGGCAGGGCGAGGCGAGGGCACAGGTGAAGAGGGTAGACTCTGGATCCAACTTCTAGACTCATAGCTGCCCTAACTGTAAACTGCAAGGGCACAAGCATCGTGTTGTGCTCCATGTCGCTGTCTCTGGCCTGTGGTCACAGACCAGAAGTTGTTGGCTGAATGGATGACTCAAAATTAAAAGGCAGTTGCTCTCACGTTGTATTCCTATGCTCTGGTTCCTAAGTGATGGAGGTGTACACCTGAGTGATGCAGCCCAGGTGTTCCTGGAGGACACCTGAGGGGAGGATATCCTCACTTCCATGGGGACAAGAAGGGTACAAGGTGGAAAGGGACCTGCTGATGCAGTCCTGCAAAAAAAAAAAAAAAAAAAAAAGGAGAAAAAGGGATAGCAGTGCTCAGGTGGGGGTGGGGTAGAGAGAAGGGCCTATGAAATTGAAATCTGAAAACTAAATGTCATAGACTACACAGACAGAGCACTTGCTCTGCTGGGCTGCTTGGGAACCACTCTGGAATCAGAAAAGCACATTGCTGCCCTGAGGCTTCTGACTGCTATGCAAATTTCCTTCCAGAACCAGCTTTCAGCCCGGGACACTGAGCCTTCAGGGGACCTTTGTGTCTGCAGGCATTTTGGGTTGTCACCAATGGGGCTGTTACTGGCATCAGGTGGGTAGAGAGGCCAGGGATGTCACCAAACACATACAATGCACTGGACAGCCCTGAGACAGACAGTGGTCAGAAACAGATGCCAAAAGCATCAACCCAGATGACGCAGGCTGCAGCCTGGATTCAGGACTCCTCTCTCCTGCCCAGGCCTGTTCAGACACCAGCAAATCCTGTCTCCTCTGTGTCTCTTTCAAAGTTTCACCAGCACCCCCACTGGTTTTTGGAAGGGATCCTTGCTTCTTTTCAAACAGGCTTTCATGCACAATCTTTGGTTGAGAAAGCAGAGCTGCACCTAGAGTTGGGGCAACTCTGGGGCACTGTTTTGCAGACCTCTACCTATAATTTTGTCAGATTGACCCTTGAGACCACAAGGCCTCCTCCTCAGGATCCAAGGGTGCTCAGGGGCCAGAAGCTGCCTCATGTTGGAAGGGGGGGCGGTCCAGGGCGATGTGTGGTGAAGCTTTGTTTGCTCCCTTCATGAAGGAAGATGATCACGACTTATGAAAGTGGAAAGAAAAACCTGCCCCCACTTTCCATTTCAGCAGTCACGAACAGAAGCTTGATTTGCATGAGTCTGCAGACTGGAGTCAGGCACAAAGTACAGTTGGTAGCCGGGAATTCACTCTTTATTCTAGTGTGTGTGTTGTGTGCATGCCTTGGCGTTTTTTTGATCATTTGGTTCATAGATCTAGCCTATCAATTAAGTCTCATTTAAGTTAACATTCACCTACTATATAAGAACATTTGAGTAATGGGATGCCGCACTTGACATTTGATAAAGTGACATTAAGGCCACCCTAAGGACCAGAAGATAAGCCAATAAGCCAACCCCAGGCTGGGCTGAGGGGGTGAGCCTTCTTTCAGGAGGAGCCTCATGCTGTTAAAAACAAAGAAGCCGGGTGCCAGTGGCTCACGCCTGTAATCCCAGCTCCTCAGGAGGCAGAGATCAGGAGGATTGCAGTTCAAAAGCCAGCCCAGGCAAATAGTTCATGAGACTGTATCTTGAAAATACTCAACACACGCACCAAAGAAATAAAGGGTTGGTGGAATGGCCTAAGTGGTAGAGTACCTGCCCAGCAAGTGTGAGACTCTGAATTAAAATGCCAGTACAGCCAAAAAAAAAAAAAGAAAAGAAAGAAGGAAGTTGGGGGCTGGGTGACAGAATGTGCAAGGCGCTGAGTTTTAACCTCAGCACCCAAAGGAAAAGACAAAAAAAAAAGAGGAAATTGGGACTGGGGATATTAGCTCAGTGGTAGTGTTTGCCTAATGTCTGTGAGACCTGGGTTGGTTCCTAAGATCTACATCCACACCCACAAAGAAAAGGAGAGAGAGAGAGAGAGAGAGAGAGAGAGAGAGAAGAAACAGAGAGCAAGAAGCTGCCTAGGGTCTGACCTACCCCAGTCATAGACAGTGACACTAAAGCCCATCATGCAACTTTGTTTGGCAGTTCTTGGGTTTGAACTTGGGGCCTACACGTCGAGTCACTTCACCAGCCCTTTTTTTTGTGATGGGTTTTTTGAGATAGGGTCTTGTGAACTATTTGCCCAGGCTGGCTTCGAACCTTGATCCTCCTGATTGCTGCCTCCTGAGTAGCTGGGATTACAGGGGTGAGCCACCAGTGCCCAGCTCCCTTGGGATGGCCCTGGCCTCCCTGCAGACTTGTCTTGGGAGAAGTGGAAGCTTAGAAATTTGACACTAACCCCAGAGTCTGTGATTCCATAGACCAGAGGTGAATTGTGTCCTCCAAAAGGTTATATTCGAGTCCTTACCCCTGTACGTTATTTGGAAATAGAGTTTTTACAGATGCTCTCGAGTCAAACCATTTACTTAACTCCAGTAAGTATCTATGCTGGATTTGGGTAGAGCCTAACAAGAAGGGACCTGCCACGTGACAGGAGGGATGGCCAGCAGGGGCTGGGGGGGAGCAGGAGCAGCCTCTCTCTCAGAAGGAGCCAGCCTTGCCCACCATGGCTCCTAGGTTTCTGCTGTGTCAAGCCGCCTGGCCACAGGAGACTCACACATGCCGTCCTGAATCACTCCTCTGAAATCCTAAGCCCTCATCCAGAAATACCCAGCTGGCCTCAGGGGTAAATTCAGGCCCGTCCACCAGGGGGCCTTTGCTGTCTCCAGGGGTCAAAACTGTAGTGTCAATCTGTCCTTTAACCACCTGTTCCTCCCTGGGAATGAAGACATTGCCAGGATGCTCCCATGAGGACCCCCAGGCTTCTAAATCACCCTCGTCCTCCCTGTCCCACCCTTGTAATTCCCTTGTAGGTCCCACGCCCCCAGGCTCCCCAGTCCTAAATGCCTCCCCCTGAGCCCCGTGGAACAAAGGCTTCCTAACCACTATTCCTTGACCTCAGACATCTTTGAGTTTCCCACATCTAATACAAGGCAGAGCCCTCTCCAGTTGTCTTGGGTCACTATCTTGGCACTGGGCTGGGACAAGGATCACCATCTTCTTCATATTTCTGGACCATTCTCCTGCCTGTCCCCTGTGTCTTCTCACATACTCTTCTGCCCATCCCTTCATTAAAGTCATCTCCAAGCACTCTTTGCTCCTTAAGAGTCTTGCCCCAGTTCTAACCACGCTCAATATTGTACTTGCCACAGTTCTTGGGGATTTCAAAATACATAGAGAAGCCGGGCGTGGTGGTGCTCGCCTGTAATCCCAGCGCTCAGAAGGCAGAGGCAAGTGAATCGAGAGTTTCAGGTCAACCTAAGCTATATAGCAAGACTCTGTCTCAGAAAACCAAAAGCAAAAACCAAACCAAAAATGCACAGAGATCATTTCTCCAGTATCTGTTCCTTCACCTGTGCCCAGCTACTCCGCGTGCAGTTGTTTTGGCTGCCTGACAGTCCCTAAGGCCAGCTGGGCTTCATTTACCCACGAATCCCAATTGTTTACACAGTAGCTGCCCTTCACCTCCTATCCTGTCTGCTTCTCTCTCTCTCCCTCCTTCCTCTCTCTCTCTCTCTCTCTCTCTCTCTCTCTCTCTCAGAAGCACTTCTCTCTAGAAGCTCCTGAATATTTTTTTTTTCCAATACTGGGGTTTGAACTCAGGACCTTCACCTTGAGCCACTTCACCAGCCCTTTTTTGTATTGGATTTTTTTTTTTTTGAGATAGGGTCTCACAAACTTTGCCCAGGCTGCTTCAAACCACGATCCTCCTGATCTCTGTCACCTGAGTAGCTAAGATTATAGGTGTGAGCCACCAGCAAAGCTCCCAGAGTTCTAACAGGCTGTAGGATGTGCTGGTTTTCATTAGTCTCTGTCCCCAGCCCTACTTGAATGTAAGATCATGAAGGTTTTGCTTCCACACCTTGCCTTATTCTCACTGCCAGGAATAATATCTGCAACCAAACACATGCATAGCAAGTATTTGTTGAATGAATAAATGATTGATCAGCCCCTCCATCTGTGAGGTTTAGTTAAACAGGATTGGTCAGCAGAAATCTGAGCACAAGTCATCTGATCTGAGATGACTGAGGAGGGCAGGACCACCCCTGCCCCAGGTACTTTCCTGAGAACTGCTTTTTTTTTAGCAGTGACACAAAAATGTGTTTCTTTTTATAACAAATGAGGAAGTGATAGTTCAGCCTGTGTCTCATTCAAGTGAGACCTGCATCAACACTACTCAGGACCCTCCCTGAAGTAGAACAGAAGACCCTGTGACACAGGTAAGAGATAAGACAGGAAGGTGACTGACTGCTTTCACCCTGAAGGACACAGGAGCTGGGGGTGGGGAGGTGGGGAGGAGGGAGAAAGATGAGGCAGAAAGATGGAGTCAGCAAAGACAAAGTGGTAGTAGATGGGGGGAGGGAGTGACAACACACTCCTCCCAGGCTCTGTACTGCCCTGGCTAATTCTTAGAAGAAACTAAATGCTATCTGACCACCTCCACAGAGCAAGGCAGCCTCCTGTGCTGTCCCCTGGGGATCCTTAGCTTCTCTTACTGCCTTTCTGCGGACCTAAGAGTCTCCTGTCCTGGGCCAAGGTGCCACCAGAATTCTCTAGCCCAGTCTGGGTCACACCTACCTGGCAGAGCTGTGGGGCTCCGGGGGGAGGGGGTGGATTCTGTTCCAGATCAGAGCCTGGCAATTGGGATGCCCTGTTCAGGAACCCCCCTCCACACTTCACACGGCCCAAGTCGAAGCAGAGTCCTTCTCCTGACCCATGTCCCCTGGAAGTCCCCACAAAGACTTGCTCAGCCTGCTTTATTTTCTCCACTCCCCCCAGAACCCTGCAAAGGTGAAGGCAGGGTTACAGAATCATCCAGCTGGGTCCACCAGCACCCCATCCTCACCATCAGCAGCCTCTTCCTAACCAAGGCACCTGCCACAGGTGGGAGGCTTGGGTCCAAGGTCCCCAGCTAGGAGCACTTCTCCTTCCAGTGTGCAGGGGCTACTCACCTTCTGCCTGCTTCTTAGGGAAACTGCTGGGAGCTGTAAGAGAAGTGAGGGGTAAGAAGAGCCTGGTGCAGGAGAGGACAGAGATAGCTTAGCCAGCCACCTTCTGAGGTGGAGGGAAGAGCCAGCTGATTCCTGATTGTGAGGCCCCAGGCTGCAGCTCTGCTCGTGAAGTTTGGGATCATCAGCCCATTTTTCAGATGAGTAAATAAATAGTGGACCCAGAGTAATGGCCCAGTAACAAGACCACGTATGTAGCCAGTAAGGG